CTCCGCTCAAAGCCCGATAATTGCGATAAACGGCATGGATCCCACGATGGCGAGAAGCACGGGGAGTGGAAAAGGCAGAAGAATAAAAAAAAAAACCATAAAGAAGGTCATTTCGGTAAGAGTGAGCGGGACGAGAATGGGGTCAAGATCTGCGCCAGGCGGCGGTGGGGCAGGCTACGGGGGGCGGGCTACGGGGACGCGGGCGTTTCAGAAGAGACGGGGGGTGTCGGGCCTTTGATGGCGCATGCGGGCAGCGCGCCCCCCCGGCGTCCACGATGCCAGGTTGGAAGAAGACGAGGCGTCGTCAACGAAACGGCGGCGTGGTCTGCTTTGCTTGGGGCTGGGTTGTGGCGGGCAGCGCACCGTGCCGGGTGAGCGAGAAGGCTGACTGAAATCTTGCTTGGAAATACAGGAGAGAGCCCGAGCGGCGCGCAACTCACGACATGGGAACGGGCATTTTGAGCCCTGGGTCTCTGTAGGAGTTGGCGTGTGGCAGGTCTGAGCGGGCCTGGCGGAGGAGCTGAAATTTCGGATCCTTATGCCTCTGGCGCTGTCATGGTGTCAAACGAGTGAGGAGAACTTGATGCTTGCCTACCTATAATAACGGGCTGGACTATGGGCGACACTTGGAGACTGCGAGGATCGGGAGCCTTCTGGAAGCATCACGAGAGAGGCGCCCGCCGGTGCCAGGCATGTGGGCAGGTACCGTGCCAGGATGGCGGCGGGAAAATATGGGCCTCCCCAAAGAACAAGGAGGCGGAGGGGATGGGCGATGGATGGCACGGTACAAGTAGCAGATCAATGACTCCGGCTCTGGAAAATCAACCCAGCAATGAATGGTATGACGATATACATATACATGTACATGTACCTACTGTACAGTAGGCCACCCACTGCCAGAAAACTGCCAACAGACCGGACAGGAGCCTGGCAACGATCCACCAAGATGTAGGGATACAGAGATGCAGGTCATGGCCCCACCAGGTGCAGGGAAACAGAATACGGTGATTGGCGAAAGCACGTCCATCACAGGCTAATCATCTCGCTTCGTGCGTTGATCTGCGTGCTGGGAATAGAGGGCCAATCAGACATGGCGTGTGCCTGGCACGGTTCCTGAACTAGCGCCGAATGGCGGCCGTTGGATGCAATTTTGTGAAAATAGGAGCAGTGAGCAGTCCAGGGGGGTTGCGCACAAGGTTCGATGTAGAGAGCCCAGGAACTGGGCAATATGGAATGACGGGAGGGGGCTGTTGTAGTTGTAGGTTCTCGACAGAGGACAGAGGCACGTCTCCTTCGGTTTGTGCGGCAAGGCGAGGTTCTTGTCCCAAGTATCATGGTCTGATGTTTGGTTTGCTGACTTTTGTTTGGTGTTACATAGTACCCGTCTTTGGGTTCGTCCGCTGTTTGACTCTAGGGGCGCATGGACGTTGCGTTCGCGGCTGGCAGGACAGCGCAGATCCGAAACACAAAGACATTGCCGTCACTCTTTGACGGGACGAACGGCAACGGCCGGCACCTTAACCTACATAGTACCTACCTACCTACCACCTACAGTACATGTACCTAATAAGGTAGACAGGTGAAAACTGCCGCACTGTTCGATGCCAACCAGACAGGGAAAGCACCACCTTGCTGGCAGCTGTTCAGCCAAGGACGGCCCTGCTTCCCTCGAATCCGCCCTGCCGTTTGTGTCTCCCGCCCCCTTCCCTGTTGGTAGTCCCGACCCCTGGTTCTTCCTGCCAGCTCGCAACCCCCCTCCCTCGCCCTTGGCGCCCCATGCCTGTGCCTGCCTGTGCCTGCCTGTGCCTGCCTGTGCCTGCCCTCCCTCAATCCCTCGAACAGTGGAATGTCCTTCCACCGCCCCGGACCTCATCCTTGACCCTCTCCGCCGCCTCCTCCTGCTCCTCCACCTCGCCTCTCCTCTCCTTCTCATCACCTCTCCCTCCCTTCCAGGTCCTCGAGCTCACCTCCACCACCACCACCGCGTACGCCGTGTCGAGTCAACTCTCCCTCCAGAACTACATCGTCTAGGTCGCCCGACGCAACTAGTTGCTCGCCTCTACGTGTAGATTCATCCGTTCTTTCTGCCCCATCCGCCCTGGCCTAGCGCCCATTTTCATTCATTGATTCCACACATTCCAACCATTACACCCAAATACCCGACCATTGACTACACCATTCGTGTCGCTGAGACAATAAGCTCAGCAACCCTTCGGAACAACCCGACAACGACACTCACTCACTCGACGCGCCGCCGCTTCCATTCTTTCTCGCACAGCTCAAGTTCAAGCCATCCCCGTTTACATTCCAAACGGCCGACCTAGCAACCCCGATCTCCCGTTGAAGCCCGCATACAACCCCAACCACCCGAGAATTGGTTCCCCCGGATTCCCCGACCGCTGATCCTAAACTTCCTTTGACGACCCTGTTGCTGCGAGCTGGGCAACCGTTCTTCTCGACCTCGTACAACCACCAAGATCGGCACTAACAACAGCAAAGAACATCAACCAACAACAACGAAATCGACCGCCAGTCGGGCGCTGATACCATGGCGCACTATCACCACCAACATCTCCATGAGAGAGCCGACGACGTCTGGCAGAACGTGGAAAATGCGCTGAACGACCTCAACCCTTTCGACAGCAGGGACGAGGACGATGAGGAGGAACCGACCCGTCGCAGTGGAGGTGAGCATCACAGCGCCAGGCTCCCGAATGCGCGGCACCGGATCGCACTCTTGTTGGCTTCTCATCTAACACCCTCCTAGGCACGACGATCATCCGAACCGTCATCCAAACGCTGCCCGCCGATTTCGGGGGCTCCGTCGCCAGCTATAGGACCATCAGGGAGGACGATGACCGCACAACGAGAGCCACCCCGACGACCATCCAGGGCGCCGGCTCCCCCCTCCGCCCGGAACCCAAGTCATCAGCTTCCTCGCCGTCCAGGGACGCGACAACAACACGCGAGTCCGCCAAGAAGACCACCACGGCCATCCCTACCGTCATCAGCGAACCCACAAAGACGAACGGCATTCCCACCACACTGGCCGTGGCTTCGGATGCGCCTGAAGCTCCCACCCAGCCGAGCAGGGCCATCAACGCCGGCCAAATCACGTCCGCCTCGACGCCTTCTACCAGTGCGCAAGCCCAGGCGACGGCCAGTCCCGAGCCCAGCGGCGCCGCCAAAGCTGGCATCGCCATCGGCGTCCTTGCCGGTGTTTTCCTGCTCGGTCTCGCCGTCTTCTTCCTCTTCAACCGCCGCAAGAGACAGGTGGAACGCGAGAGGCTCAACGATGACGACGAGAAGCTTCACAACCCCTTCGCTGCGCCTACAACGGCCATTGCCGTCGTCGCCGCCGGCGAACGCTCCAACCCACGGGCCCCGCGTATCAGTCTCCGTCCCGTCACCCAGTTTCTGCCAAATCTCAACTTTGACAAGCGCGCCAGCAAGGGCGCCAACATTGCCATGGCCTCCACTGCTGGTGGTCTGACGCCCAGCCATTCGGCTCATTCTGGCTTCAATGCCTGGGATCGACCTGCGACCAGCGAGAGCGCCAACCCCAGCAACCCCTTCGGCAACCAGGCCGAGCGCGTGCCCACCCCCATCGCCGAAGAGCCTCTGACACCAGCCGCCGATAAGCCACTTCCACCTGGCCCTGGAGCTGTACCTCCCGGTGATGCTTGGTCGGCCCACGCGCCTGCGGCTGCAGCTGCTGGCGCCGCAGTTGCTGCGGGAGCCGTCGGGGCGGGCCTCGCACGCAAGGCCTCTACGCGGAAGGGCACCCCTAAGGATCTCGATCTCACTCTACCCGCGCCTCTGTCTGTCGTTCCCCCCAGCCCTGCCGGCACTGAATTCAGCATGAACTCCGAAAGCCCTGATCAGCCAAACCCCTCGGCTCCACTGGTGCTGCTGCTATTGCCGCTGCTGGTGGACCTACCAACTCGACTGTTCCACCGCGTGCAGCTGGATTTCAAGCCCACCCTGAAGACGAAATGGGCTGAGGCCGGCGAGTTGTTCGCCTGCTTCACGAATATGATGACGCTGGGTACGTTGCCAACCTTCCATGATATGACTCAATTACTGACATTGTCTTCCAGCGCTTCTGCATTCGACTTGA